AATAATAATAATAATAATAATAATAATAATAATAATAATAATAATAAAAAATGGCATTATCTGTGCAAGAATTGCAAATAGAATTTCAAAAGCTACAACAAGAGAAACAGGAAGGTAAGGGCTCTCTTGGATCTATCTTTTGTTTTTTGGAAATGGCGATCTCTACATACCAAGAAATACAAGAACAAGAGGACCGGGATGAAGAAGGAGAAGCCATCTTTAATGGACAAAAAATCATAGCTGAAAAGAACAAGTGGGGAAAGAAAATGGAGAATTTAGAACTTAAAAAAGCAACCAAGAAAGGGAAAAATAAGATGAAAAATCAATACAATGCCAGAAAGCAGCAGAAAAGAGAAACACAACAGAGAGGGAAGTGGAATTTGAGAGATGGAGGGGCAAAAAGATCAAAAAGATCAAAATTGATAAGAAAGGAAGGGAAAAAGGAAAGAGAAGCCATAAAGGTTTAAAACAAGATGAAAAAAAAAGGCTTTTTTCAGAGACAAAGGGTAAAATTTAAATTAAAAAAATATATGATTCTGCAAAAATACATAAGATTGTATCGTAGATACAATCTTATTTGAAATCGAGTTAGAAAACTGAAATATTATATGAGTTAATAATGTACTAAAGGGAATATATAAAATGTTTAAGAGTAAATAATACAGTTTAATTTTCTGTGGAATGCTGTTTTGATCATACTATAAACTCAAGCTCTTCTTTATTTTTGTTTTATTATTTTACTTTGTGTTAGGCAGAATCAGTATGGAAAGTATGTATTATTTTAAGTATTAAATTTAGGGGAAAGATAAAAGTTGTCATGCTTCAACCAGTGATTACAGGAGAAATATTGTATTGAAAAGAAAAGATAAATAGATAATTGAAGAAAACAGACAAAAGATATAAGTATAATTATTTAAAATGAGATGAAATAAATATAATAGAATTATGAGAGTGAATAGAGGAGAGAAAATATATAGAAAATACAGAATGTTAATTAAGATATGAGGTAGTGTATTGAGTGAGTATGAACTTGATTTATGTCTGTATAAAAAGAGGTAACCCGGGGTAAGCTGCTTTCCAAAAGAAGTTTTAGGTATTTATGTTTTGTGTTTTGTATGTCCATGTTTGAATTAATAAAATCTTAGAAGAATGTAAGAAGAAGGATGGAAGGCTGAGTCAACCTTGAGCCTGGTGAGATTTGAATTGTCAAACAGCTGGTAGCCGGTGATCAGCAGAAGCAGCCTGCAGTACTCCATTCTAACCACTGAGCCACCATGGGTCTTATAAACTATGTGTTAGCTTACAAAAACTATAATAATAAAAGTGCATTCACAAGACATTATGCGACAAATATTTTCAACAGGAGGCTCTAGGATCAGAGTTGGTGCTTTTCATGAGTTGGCGATATCAGAGACTTTAAGAGGAAAGTTACTGGACTAATAACTAAAGGGTAAAAGATTTGCTGTTACGACCACAAGAGGATTCCAAGAAGTGAACCCAAGAACAGATCTATTATCAGTGCAGATGAACCATTCTAGACAGAATTCTGGAACATTAAGTTCTGCCCCCTTATCTTTCACACAAAATAGATAAACATGAACATTTAGATTTTTAGATTTGCTCTGTTTCAAGAAAGCCTAAGATTCCTCACATAGCTTAAAGAAAATATCACTACAGGCACCACAGTAAAGGCAAACCGCTATGAAGCAAAAAAGTGGAGGATTAAAAAAAAGATTTTGAAGCAAAAACCAGAATGAGCTTCAAATAAGAAGCCATTAAAGATAGAGCTTGACATTAGGAACATATGCAATTTGATTTCCTCTAAACTTTATTCTCTCTCATCTAGTGCAATACCAGGCTGACCTTGTCTAAGAAATATCAGTATGGTTAATATTTGAGTGAGGAAACTATCCAGATATCCCCGGTCTCAAAACTGCAAGAATACAGTCATCAGGAGTTCAACTCAATTTGCTAAATATTCACTTTTTAGATCAAATTGAGAAATTGGAGAATATTCTAAGAGGAAATGGCAACTGTCTTTTGGTACTGTGTGGTCAAGAAAAATGCATGGCTGTTTCCATGTAGATCAACTCAAGGGTATATTTATCTAAACTTCCTTATATAGAATTTGAAAGTGGAAACTACAGGTTGCTGCTAACAAAAGGAAATTGTTTTGTTTATTACCAATCTTACCTATTTAAATGCTTGGGATATTTTATACCACAGTTTGTTTGCAGATATTATATTGTGGGTGTTTATAAGGCTTCTTTTGGACTTCACAATCTCTAGAAAGGCACTGTTTCCTGTGAATTTGCTTTGTGTTCCTATAGTGACCTCATCCTTGATACATTCATTTAAGTTTCTATTAAGGCTTTAGGAAGATTATAGACTATTCTTATAAGGTTAGAGTGAACAAGTTTTCCCCTCAGTTACTAAGACTGTGCAGTGCAAAAAAAAAAATCGAGCTTGATTTCAGATGACTTTATGAACATGTGTACTTAATTTCCTTGGCAGCACTATGGAAATGAACTGTCATTGTCTTTTTTCAGGATTGGTTGATTGGTCAGTTGATTTCTTCTCTGTCTGGTCTATAGACCTCAGCTTTTTCTTTCATTGAAGTATTAACCAGATCTGAACAACCTTAGTTGAAAAGTTCATTCAATTACATTAGAAGTTATGAATGAAATGTTCATGAAAGAAACAACTGCATGTAAAATATACCTGTTAGGCCAAAACACTAGACTTTATAATGACTTGAGCAAAGCAACAAAATATGGTATAAGAACACTATCCCAAAAGACAATCATTCTGACTATTCTGTAAGTGATATAGGATGCCAAGATTTTTGCCAAATTAGATATTGCCAAGGGGTTTTGGCACTTACTACAAATCTCCAAGCACCAAAATCCAGTCATCTGGCAATTTTTACCACATACCATGAACGTTATCACTTGCATTGTTTCTAGTACCTCTGAGAGTTTTCAGTATACAGTCCTCAGTTCTAAGGCAAAATGACATAGTTTTAACATTATGGGTCTGATGTATGTTGCTAACAGTGCTAAAATAACAAACTTCAGGCTATGTATAAGAATAGAGAATATATTATTCTTTAAACTTTGCTGAATTCTTCCTTTGTCAGGGTTACAGCGGTAAAAAGAGGGCTCAGTTTAGAGTCCTTATGGAACCTCAGATGAACTGCACCCAGTCCCCCTTGATTGCAACTGAACCTTATTTAGCTCTAACCGGGTGCTGACTGTTAGTAGAGTATATATAGGCATAGGCTTTTAGCAATAAATCAGTTAAATTGAACACTCATGTGTGGTATGTGTTTCTTATGCCTGACAATTCCAGTGTTAAAGAAGGTACTTAGCAACTTTATCTATGTGGAATGAAAATTCAGTAGAGTATCAATTTGCATTGGCTTTATTGGAACTGTTTTTGCTCATTTCCATTAAGATTCTTCTAATTACTGGGAGTGATAGATAACACAGCAATGAAAGGTTGTTTTGTTTCTGGGACTGTGCATTACTAGATATGTTTGGGCTCTGTTGGGTTGTAGACTGGATTTTTATGTTGAGGCCCATTAATATTTAGAGAAATAGAGTTATTTATGGAATGATTCTATTTCAAATATGAGGTCAAAAGAAATCTATTGGATATTGTGAGCAGAATGTGGAGAACAATTAAATTAAACCAGTTGTCGCAATGACTATTTTAAGGACTTTCCTTGACTTCAAATAGAATTTTTTTTGGAATAAAGTTTTTTTCTTTTTTCTTTTTTCCCCATTTGTCTGTACACGTAATTCCTCAGCTTACAGAAATTAATTTAGTGACTGTTTGAAGTTAAACTGGCACTGAAAAAAGTGATTAATGACCATTTCCCACACTTACGACCATTGCAGCCTCCTCAGTCATGTGATCACAATTCAGACTCTTGGCAACTGATTGATAGATTTATGATGGTTGCAGTATCATAAATATACCATCAAGCAAAGTCAGTGGGGAAGCCAGATTCATTTAACAACTATAGTACTAACTTAACAACTGCAGTGATTCATTTAACAACTGTGGCAAGAAAGGTTGTAAAATGGGGCAAAACTCACTTAACAACTGTCTTGCTTAGCAACAGAAGTTTTGGGCTCAATTATGGTCCTAAGCCAAGGACTACCTGTATTTCTCTTTATAAAACATGTTAAGATAAAATAAATACACTTGATTAATAAAAAGTTTCTATTGAATTAACAATCTAGTCGAAGTCAGCTGCCATAGCTATGAAGAGAAGGATAATTGTTTAGACAAATCAAGCCTGCTCATGCCACTAGCCAGCTTGCTACCGTTCATACTGAGTAAAAATATAACTTGGTTCACCGTGAGGTCAGCTAGTGCTTTGCTAAACTTCTGCAATTCTTGCATGTTTCAAGAAAGAACAATCCATAATTGCACAAAGCAGTTATTGCATTGGAATCTGAGTCACCATACCAAAGAGGAAGGAATTCTGCCAATGCAATAAAGTTCTGAAAGTTGCTTCTAAAAGCATGAAGCAATAACAGTGAGCAGTGCTCAGGGGAAATTCTCCCAGATGGCCAAGAAAGAAAGAATAGTGCCCTTGGGTTGCCTAAAAGACTTAATTTGGTTAGAATCCAGCTTATCTCTAAATTGACCTGTAAAACTTTTTACACTTTAATTCTAATTAGGAGCTTGGGAACCCGAGTTTTATTAAAATGAGCTCAAAGATCCACCAGGAGCTAATTACTGGATCTCAGTTCCTGGTGTCCCATTAGTGCTCATCTGTGATCAAATCCCACTGTGAATGTGCTGATGCTTTTCTGATTTTTGTTTGTCAAACAGAAAAGAAAAACCAATTATTTGCAGCACGCTACCCGAGAAAAATGAAATAGAAACACTTTAATCAGTGCTCCCCTCTGATGCTCTGTATATCAGCTTACACTCAGGAGATATAAAACGCATTCAAAGAAAACTACGATACTGGCTTCCATTAGAAAAAAACTGGTATGACCTGACCGATCATACATTTATGTCATGCTATTTCCTCAGAAGGCAGACAATATTGTGGGGTCCTTAGTATTCTCTGAGCTTGGTAGTTTTCTTGCAGATGTTTCATCATCAAATCAGGTAACGTCTTCAGTGCTTTTATCTAGTTTGATAATGAAATATCTGCAAGAAAACAATCAGGCTCAAAGAGCACTTAGGACTTCACAGAGCTACAAATATTCTCTTCTATCAGCGGACAACATGATATGACATGAAGAAAAAGCATAAGAAATAGTAAGCCAAGAAAAATTAAACACATGAGATAAATGAAAGGAAACAAACTGCAGCCAATTTATACTGACATCATTTATGATGCCTTCATACTTTCTGTCCTTGTGAACCTTCTATCCTTCCATCAAGTCCATACTCAACTTCGGCCATTGCTTTTTGTCCTTCAAGGATTCTGCTTCTTCTTTAGAAACACTTATTGACTCCATCCAACCGCACCTTTTTCTTACTTCTCCTTTTTCTCAGTGCAGTCACTCTTCCTTCACATATTCGCTTTACAGTTCAGCCCTCATTCTTTCTCCCTGTATAACTGAACCACCTAAGGTACTTCTTTAATGCGCTCATTTTTGAACCCAATCCACATTCATTCAGCACCCATACTCTCACTTATTCATTCCTTCTTCCTTGACCCCATCTTCTCTTGTTTTCTTGTAGAATATAAGTGCCCCATTTTCTTTGCATCCATTTTTATATTTCTCCTGATATACCAAATTCTGACTTCTATATAACAAATGCAGCCAGAAGCATACATTTATTCACAATCATTTTTGCATCTTTCAACAAGATTTCTTACTCCATCCTACTGGCAACTTTTCTAGTGACATTTTCCATCTTAAAAAATTCTCCATCCATTTTCTCATTTGTAAATTCATATACAGTACTTCCTTGAATTTTTCTTTGCTTGTGTATAATATTGAATCACTTCCCACATAGTTGGAATGAGACATCTGGGGCTAAGAATATGTCTACTTGGAAATATTTCACATTCATCTACCTAGATTATATTTATACCTATAGATAAAGACATTAAACAAGCTTGCATAAGCTAAGCCAGGAACTTTGAGAAATAATGACCCACCATCATCGCCAAACACAGTCCCACAATGTGTACAAAAGAAATGTTCAGGGTGCCAAGTCTGATCCATAGCGGTTAGGATTTTCTGCAGAGAAAACAAGAAAGCTTTACTGGAATAATATTATATATGACAAATATATCTTTGGTACATGGAACAGGGAGGGTGGCATCATTTTGTCTTTAGCCTCAGATAGCTAATGTTTGGGACCAATTATGAAGGCAGTTGATTACCAGAAGGCAGAAACAGTGATACATACCTCCTGGATGGGTGCCTTACAGTAAGCACAGCGAGGAGAGAAGAGCTGATGGTAGTCTTCTTGGCAGTAAGCTTTGTTGTCCCGCTCAAAGAATGGCCGGGAACCCACTTCTTTTCCACAATGGGTGCATGTGAAGTGTTCGGGATGCCACATCTTTCCCAGAGCTGTAATTACCTAGAATTCATTAAAAGATTAGTTGAAGACATTGGATAAAGATACTTCACTCTTTACAGTGCAGACTCTCTCAAACAGAAGCTACGTATTCTCAAAGATGCTCTGTTTTACATCAAACTCCCCTCATTGGCTTAGTGAGCAACTGAAGCTCTTTAGGCTAAGACATTAAGATTCTCAGTGATAACATTGCAAAAGAAACTCTAATTTTCATTCTTAATTATAGGTGTCATGCAGTTTAAAAGTATGACAAATAAGCAATTGGCTGTAGCAACCTTGGTGAGACTGAGAATAGTAGAAAGGGCAGATAGCTAGATCCACTATTCCCACCGCCATGCTTACCTTTCCAGCAATAGGTTTGTGGCAAAAGGCACAGTTACCCTTAGGCACAGTAGCAACGCCAAGGTCCTGCATATCATGAGACAAACTCTTCAATATGTTGTCTAGGTTGTCCGTGGTGTTCCCTTCTGCTGATGTTGACTGGCCAGAAGTGGCCAAGCTATCTGAGACCTACCAGAGAATAAATAATTTGCAATTGTCTATCTTTTTGTGTAGCTTTCTCTGCTTCCAGGACAGGTATTTATTGATCAATTAACCTGCAACGTTCACACACTTTTATAAAACATTTTCGATGACATATACTCTTGCATATATCCCCACATCTTTTCTCTCCTGAAAAAAAATGTTTGGAACAAACAGAATCATGCTTTTCCATTTGAATGGCAAAGCTAAGAACTCTTAATTAGGCAATACAGTAAAGACATGGTTCTTAAACAAGTTCTTTTTTATTTTGTACATTCATCTGCACAAGGCTTTTAGTTCCCCTAATTTCCTATGCTCAAACTACATCCCCAAATGATATGAAAAACCCTGTCCCACAGTTTTCCAGATCTGAAACACGGGCAGTTAGGGAGGCTGTATCAGAGTGATCAAAGATGCAGGACCAAGAAAAAAAAATCCAAGAACAAGATGGAATCATAAAATAAACTGGATATACACAGAAGCATATGGATAATATAATGTACACAACCATGGTGAGAAATAACTTAAAGACATTCAGAACAATAGTACTCCATTCTCGCTTATTTTTAAACCCTGTACTCTCCCTTTATGGGTTTTTTTCCTGTCAATGTGAATTTGAAGTATGCAAGCTGACTTTAATATAGCAAGTTCCATCTTTTCTTAATTTATTTGCCAGTGTTTTTCAACCTTAGCAACTTCAGTATGCGTGGACTTCAGCTCCTAGAATTGGGAATTTATTATAGTCTGTATAAACAATCAGTTTTCATTTTCAAAGGTATTTAAGTTAGAATCCCATTATTCACCTTGGATTGGATTGTTCCCAAGCAAGCCAAAAGATCGTCCAGTTCCTGAGCAACTGAGGTAGAAGATGAGGAGGACACTGTTGGCTGTGGGGGTAAAACTTTGCTACAAAAAATAAAAATATTTATGATCAACCAATTGAAAGGAATGAAAAAGTAAATCTTTAAATTCTTGCATATACTATCATTCTATCTGTCATTGTTTATAATACCTGCTCAAAAAACAACCCACTATTTCAATTATTTATTTATTGGCCTCAAAAGTTCATCTCAGAATATAATTCAAATTTATGAATGGCAAAACCTGTGATTTGTTTGCTGTTCTACTGTATTAGTATTAGGTAAGCCATAATTCTGCCTGTCCTTTTATCAAGTTCCCATTTTCTACACAGCACTGACATTGTATGCATGTATAAAACAGCCAAATTTGTGAAATGCTTTAGAAATTTAATGCAATATGTGGAGACCACACATTTTCATATCATTTAATTCATCTGTCTTTTACACATCATCAAGTGATGAACTGGCAAATCAAAATATTCCTTTCATAAAGCAGTTGAAACTTTCACTATGAGGAAAAAATATTGAGTTGCAACACTCAACTTTTATGCTAATATCTGAACTAATTTACAATTTTAAGTCATCCTAAAATTTTCTGGTTAATGGCATAAGAGTGTATTATATGGATGATAATAAAATACACTGCTCAAAAAAATAAATAAAGGGAACACTTAAACAACACAATGTAACTCCAAGTCAATCACACTTCTGTGAAATCAAACTGTCCACTTAGGTAGCAACATTGATTAACAATCAGTTTCACATGCTGTTGTGCAAATGGAATAGTCAACAGGTGGAAAGCATAGGCAGTTAGCAAGACATCCCCAATAAAGGAGTGGTTCTGCAGGTGGTGACCACAGACCACTTCTCAGTTCCTATGCTTTCTGGCTGATGGTTTGGTCACTTTTGAATGCTGGTGGTGCTTTCACTCTAGTGGTAGCATGAGACGGAGTCTACAACCCACACAAGTAGCTCAAGTAATGCAGCTCATCCAGGATGGCACATCAATGCGAGCTGTGGCAAGAAGGTTTGCTGTGTCTGTCAGTGTAGTGTCGAGAGCATGGAGGCGCTACCAGGAGACAGGCCAGTACATCAGGAGACGTGGAGGAGGGCAACAACCCAGCATCAGGACTGCTACCTCCGCCTTTGTGCAAGGAGGGACAGGAGGAGCACTGTCAGAGCCCTGCAAAATGACCTCCAGCAGGGCACAAATAAGCATGTGGCTGCTCAAACAGTCAAAAACAGATCCCATGAGGGTGGTATGAGGGCCTGATGTCCACAGGTGGGGGTTGTGCTTACAGCCCAACACCGTGCAGGACGTTTGGCATTTGCCAGAGAACACCAAGATTGGCAAATTTGCCACTGGTGCCCTGTGTTCTTCACAGATGAAAGCAGGTTCACACTGAGCACATGTGACAGACGTGAACAGGGTCTGGAGACACCGTGGAGAATGTTCTGCTGCCTGGAACATCCTCCTGGATGACTGGTTTGGCAGTGGGTCAGTAATGGTGTGGGGTGGCATTTCTTTAGGGGGCTGCACAGCCCTCCATGTGTCAGGTAGCCTGACTGCCATTATGTACTGAGATGAGATCCTCAGACCCCTTGTGAGATCATATGCTGGTGCGGTTGGCTCTGGGTTCCTCCTAATGCACGACAATGCTAGACCTCATGTGGCTGGAGTGTGTCAGCAGTTCCTGCAAGATGAAGGCATTGATGCTATGGACTGGCCCACCCATTCCCCAGACCTGAATCCAATTGAGCACATCTGGAACATCATGTCTCGCTCCATCCACCAATGCCACGTTGCACCACAGACTGTCCAGGAGTTGAGGGATGCTTTAGTCCAGGTGTGGGAGGAGATCCCTCAGGAGACCACCCCATCTGCCACCACATCAGGAGCATGCCCAGGCGTTGTAGGGAGGTCATACAGGTACGTGGAGGCCACACACACTACTGAGCCTCATTTTGACTTGTTTTAAGGACATTACATCAGTTGGATTGTGATTTTTTGTTGTCAGCACATTCAACTATGTAATGAACAAAGTATTTAATAAGAATATTTCATTCGTTCAGATCTAGGATGTCTTATTTTTGTGTTCCCTTTATTTTTTTGAGCAGTGTATATTTTCTAATATAATTTTCATCCACTCTGCAAGCCAAAATTTACATTATATACTAAATCACCCAGGGTTCTTGGAAATAAGGATGAATAATTTCCAGTGCTTTATATTTCTGACTCAGGATATACCATATTTACATTCAGCCATACAGATAAATATTCCTCCTACTTAAATGTTATTTAAAATACCAACTTGATTTCCTGTTTTGAAAATTAATGACATTATTATAACCATTTGGTGATATTAACGGAAATTAAAATAAAGTGACTCGATTGTACCATCCTACTAAAAGTTCATTGTGAGTAGCCTGGAATTAATAGCTGGGGGAATTGATAAACTTTTGTGTATATACAGTAACTGTCTATGCACACTCTGGTACACATTTTTTTATTGGGCGAGCGCCATCTCATTCCAATAAGGTGCCACAATATTCTATCAAAATGCAAAATATGCCTTGGTAACTCCAACCTACAGATAGTGACCCATTTATTGGATAAAAAACCGATATACTTACATTGGTAAATGTCCTAAGAAACCTTTATTTAATCCATGGGAAACTGCTTAAAATGTCATGTTACAGTTTGGAAATGAGCTTTTGTAATGAAATTGATCTTTCTAATTTCTTTGCTCAAGCATAGACAAGTTACGACAGTGATACAGCTTTAGAAGACATGAAATGCAAAACAGTGGTATAATTTGAGGTCCATTTATCTTTTTCTGTAGTTACCTGTAAATATCTGCATCTTCTTTATGGGTTTGAACATTGTGTGCTGGTTCTACCTGGAAATATATAAATATATAGCAGATACGTGTAAGAATACTTTGTATGCCCAAAGTCCCCCATATGAAGAAAATGCTCAGTTTCTAATTATTATCGTTCTGATAACTTCAATCCTTCAGAAAAAGTTGCACTGTCCTGTTCATCTAAAGCAGCCTTCAAACTATTGTCTTTCATTCTGGAACCAGTTCTTCTACATGTTGTAATGGTCAACTATGTCCCAGATACAAATTGGAGGCAAGCAAACGGACTATTCGGTAGGGAATCTGTTGTATATCAGAACAAGGATGAGCCAAAGGCTGGAATGAATTTTCTAGTAGGGTCAAATTTGTGAGCACTTCCTTTCATAACCTGTAGCTTCCTAAGACTTATATAGCTTAAGAAAAATACCTTTTTGGCTTCTTGAGGTGTTGATTTGTGGTGTTGGGTTAAATGGCTTTCTGTTTTTGCTGGTTTGTTGTCGCGCTTGAGAAGAAAGCAAACAGTTGGGTCTGAATCATTCACACTCAGACTCTCCGTTGTTTGTTCCAGTTCTGCCAACAAAGCATCTAAACAAAACCATTATGGTTCAAATACATCTGTCTTTTTGTCTTAGTTTTCTACAGTTTTAGTTTTCTATTTGTAAAACTATAATATTGCTATTAAATGTCTCCTTGATCTGTGATGGCCTAGACAGGGGCAAAGAGGAGTGGAGGAAAAGACCTCTTGCTATTCCAGACTGCTGCCACTACAGAAAACACCAAACTATATTTTGTAACAGAGAGGCAAAAAAGAATTGCTCATCAATTTAGGGATTATTCTATCCTCCCCAGAATGAATAAATTGACAGAAAAAGGTAGGTCCAAAGCTAAGTATAACCAAGAGATAGAAACCCAAATTACTATAATCCCGTAGAAAAATATGAGAACAATACAAGTTAGCATCCACACAGAGTTCCTTCTGGAACCAGTCTTGTCAATATAGTCATTAAAATGATATAAAAGATACAATGCATGAAAAAAATTAAAATAATTCAGTGAGAGAACTGTCTTGACTACTGATAGCACTGCATTAACCAAAAATATAAAAATTAAATATGCTTGTTTACATTTTCTCAGAAAAGGAAACATCAATATAGTCACAGAACATTTCCATTCTCGGTAACAGAATGCATGCTCTTTTTAAAAAAGATTTTTATCTAATCCTAGGTTAAGGTCTGAGTGCAGATTGCTATATGTGTTCAGAGGATATTTTGGTTGCACATTAATATCTGAATTTTAAATAGCACTATATTTTTAATTCATAGCCCCTTGTTCTGAAGTTAAGAGAACATGTGAAATGACACATTAAAAATATGACACATTAAAAAAATATATTAAAATATCCCTATTTTAAATGGCCTCTTTATTGTTTAAATCAATAAACCAATTTTTTTTCTTGTATCTTTCTATGTGTGTGCAGGCACACAAACACATACAAATCTTATATAAGTATATACAAGCAAACTGCTCAGAGCTATATTTCCTCTGTGCTTCCAGGAATTAGTCTCCACATCCTCTATTCAGTTAGCTTGTATTTTTTATCTCTCCTTGTAATTCAGCCAAATAGTTCTTCTTCCACAGGCAACACACTTTCTTTATCAATGGGCAACTTTTAAAAAGTCTCTTCATCATTTCTGCTTCCTCAAGATACTTTTTGATCATTTGTTTTTTTTAATCCAATCACACATACTATTTCCCTCACACTTTAAAATACGCCTTTTTGGTATCCTATGAGGCTTTCCCCTTCACAACTCATGGAAACAGACATCATAAAATAACCTCTTGCCCTTTTACTGCCTTGGACACACCCCTCCAAGTCACCTCTCCAAAACCAAGTAAAAGTTTGTCCTATTTTTATTGGCAGTTAATTCCATGTGCCAGCCTCATGATGCCTGGCATTAAAAATTATAATAACCATTAAACAACTCACTATCTGTTGTTGCCTTTTCACACTATTTAAAATCTGATACCTCTTTCTAATCATAAGACTATGTATATGCCAAATAACTTAAAGTTAACGTCATCCTTTCATGTGTGAAGGCACAATGAAAAGCTAGAAACAGGAAAAAATATAGAAACGATGTACTTGCAAATTTAACCTGTTTGTCTCTTTTAGACTGCAAGACCCTTGTAAACACCTGATATACTGGCTTGAGTGTTGATATATTGATTGAAAGACACATGTGGATGTTATCAAACCACTTCCATATTTCAATAAATCCCTGACTGACAAGTTCTTCTTTTCAGTTATTTCTGATTACTTCAAATGAGGACTTGCAGCTATTTTTTAAGACTGAAGAAATCTCCTGATAATATGTCCTCACATCTGAAGATTATAAAATTTTGATCTGGCTTGTAAATGCTGACTAAGCAGCAACTACACCTTCTTGTGTAAGTGATTATTAATCCTATAAATCCATATATATTATAGGATCAAAATATTTTTAAATAATACTTGTATTAAATTTGTATGCTACCCAACTCAACAGTTCTGAGTGTCTCACAATAATTAGACAAAGAAATTTGTTACAAAAAAATAAATAAAAGATAGAGATAAAAGATGGCAAGTATGATAAAGCGAGGAGTCACTGTTTCTTACCAAAGGCTTGGGTGAAGGTATTCATGACTTTGATAAACAACAGCAGAATAGGGCCCATCCAAAATTTGGGAGGAACCACTACAGAGATGGTGTACTTCCAGAGCCTAATAAATGTTTAATTGAAAGAACCCAGAGAGTGCCAACTCTAGTCACTACTCAGAGTTACAATTTGGAAAATGGGCGGTTATATAAATCAATATAATAAATAAATAACCAGTTCTAAGCTGGTATTTATCTCAATTAGCATGGAGCACTTCAGTTCTTGACTGGAGATCAAGTTTCAGAAAAGAATGCAGAGATTGTAGGAAATGTTTTGCTTCTCTATCCCACATTATTAACAATGGTGTAAATAACTGTGCCAGATCTGGACTTCTTGGTGCAACAAAGATCTGCTGCTACCATATTGCACTCATCAAATTGAAGTGTAAAAAAATCCTCCTGACAAGAATTGGATTAATGAAGGCTACTTGTTTCATTTTCATAACATATGCTCCTTGCCCAGCAATAACATCATGCAACTGATTGCTAACTCCAAAATGATTTTGGTTGAATAGAAGTGGGATGAATGGCACTTTCTTCCATACTAAATCTCTTTAATAGAACAATTGCATCTTAAAACACTGTTAAGTCATCGTTAGGGATATTTTTGTTCACTTTTCATCTTTTAAAAAATATAGTATACAGGGCTACCAGCATGCAACACAAGTAGATAAAACATACAAGATAGAAATTATGATGGGATTGTTCTCTTGTTTCATGCTGGAAACATAAAAAATGTGTATAGTAAAATGTTATAGACTTCAAGAGATATGAGCTAGAGGGACTCCAATCTCTGTGATCTCTATTAATCACTAGTGGCAAAAGCTGATGGGCCAGAGGAAGTGAGGGCTAGCCCAGTAGGATCAAATTTAAAAACATATTTTTTATATTTTCCTAGTTCTATTTTGATATGAAATGTTTGTTAACAATTTACATAATATGTTTTTCCCTGCTGAAATAATCTTCTTATTTATTGTATTACATATCATCACATTTCAAAATATATATATTTTTAGAGAAAAAAATCCTGATTAAAATAAAGGTAAACTTCATCGGTTTCTACTCCTAAGTTAGGTTCTTGGTTCCTCTAACATTCTGTTTCAGTGTGAATTCACTTTTTCCTATACCAGCAAACCAGATAGGTTGCCGTGGTTTACAGCAATCCAACCATTATGGTTTGAGGAGGGAACTGTATTAATGTATACCCATCAAGCAGCAGCTAAAGGCACAAAGCCTCTGCCTTGTGTTCAAAATCTTCTTGCCCTCTTCAGTTTTTTCTGTTTCTCCTATTCTGCATAAGATGAACTTATTTGCAGTACGATTACAAACCCATCTCTGCAGTACTTACTTTTTTGCTATACTAAAAAAGAAAAAGAATCACTTACCTAAATCATCCATGATCTATTTCCACTGGGTCTTCTTGCCCGAATCTCTGAGTTTGTTGAAAATCTCTGAGTTTGTTGAGTAATAGAAGGGGAAATGAGCAAGATGGTGAGGGTGTAGGGCAGTAGTTTGCACAGACTTTTTCAGTTCCTCACTCTAACTGCACTTCCTCTCTTTAGAGGTTAATGTTTCTTTCCCCTATTGTGGGTTACATCTTAAGCGGATTTTTCAAAAATTGTACTCAAATGGGTACAACAGAAAGAGATGTATATCTGATGTGATCATTGTGCAATTTTTCTTATAGATGTCCTGTGGATAAGGGACATATGGGGATGGAGATTGACTCAAAAGGTTATTAAATTTAGGCTCCTAATATTAAATAATGCAACTACAGGAGACTTAGAGGGAGAGGTCACTTTCTGGAATGGGAAAGACATTCATATTCTTGAAAATATGCTAATTGTCTAGAAACTGACTATCTTGGTGCACAAACATGATGGTTATCTGTTTTCCCAATACCTGAAGCCTACTAAGATTTTTTACTAATTAGAACATAGAATAATAGAGTTGGAAGGGACCTTGGAGGTCTTCTAATGTTGTGGCCCATCAGCGGCCAGAGGAGCTGGCAGCAGACTCGGACAGTGAGGAGGTTGAGGAGGAACCTGCGCCAGTCCTGGAGTCTGAGGAAGGCTCTGATGAATGCTCTGCGTCAGAGTCAGAGATGGGGCCAGCATCGCCTGACAGTTATCAGCTGCCTTTGGAGTCAGAGATCAGTGGGGCAGAAAAACAGCTGGAGCCTGTTCCCAATATGCGCATGTGCAGAGCTGCCAGGAGAAGGGAACAGTTAAGGAGCAAGGGTCGACTCGGGAGTAAAGGCAAAGGTGGACAGTGAATGGCCCCTCCCATAGGGAATAAAGAGGAGCAAAAGGGGAGTGGTGTTTGCAAGAGACAATTAGTTCATTTGATTAAGGTGAAGATTTGTTCCTGACTCCTTGCCAAGTATTTTCTGCTACAGCATTGCACTTGGAAGTTATCAGCCTGGCAACTCTCCCAGCCTGATAAGGTCTGTGATTGTAAATCTCTCTTGAAAGACTGTTTGCTGGGACTTTGCTGGATATGAATGAGAGGAATTCACATTAGCCTAAATAAAAGGGATTTTGTCGGGACAAGTAGGCTGCTTTGTGATTTTGTGAAGCCTAGGTCAGAACATCTAATCCAAACCCCTGCTCCATCGGGAGACCCTGTATCATTTCAGACAAATGGTTCTCCAGTCTCTTTTTGAAAGTCTTCGGTGATGGAGTACCCACAACTTCTGAAGGAAGTTATTCCATTGGTTAATTGCTCTGTTAGGAAATTTCTTAGTTTTAGGTTGCTTCTTTTCTTGGTTACTTGCCAACCATTGTTTCTTGTCTTTCCTTTTAGTGCTTTGGAAAATAGCATGACCCTCTTGTCATTGTAGGAGCCCCTCAATTATTGGAACAGTGCTATCTTGCTCCTCTTAGTCCTTCTTTTCATTAGACTAGATATACACAATTATTGTAACCATTCTTCGTATGTTTTAGCCTCCAGCCCCCTAATCATTTTTGTTGCTCTTCTTCAATGCAGTATTCCAAGTGTGGTCTTACTAAGGCTTTGTAAAGCAGTACTACAATTTCATGTGATCTTGATTCTAGCCCTCTATTAATGCAGCCCAGGATTGCATTGGGCTTTTTGGCTGCTGCTGCACACTGTTGGCTCATATTCAAGTGATTGTCCACCCTCGTAACAAGTACAGGAAAATTGTGTGTGCTAGTACTTTTTAAATGACACAAGGGAGATCTAAACTACTATAGATATTTTCCAGAACATTCTCACATCAATATAGAAATATCTAAAGCCTGCTGCAGTCTGTTCAGAATGTCCATAATGAACACAAGAATGGTGAAAATTGATAGCATCCTGCATTTATTATTTTTTTTCAACTAGCAACAATATTTGATAAAAACACAGTAAAAGTTAGATGTACTAATGGCAAAGAATTGATTGAGGCTGTCCAAAGGAGTCCAATGTTCAAAGGAGCCAAACATATATCCTGGGTCCCTACAATATCTATGTTAATTATTCACTTTTTGTCTCTAGCTCATAATCTAATCCCACAATATATGTTGATGATAGTGCTATCCCTTCTGCAACCCAAGTGGATAACTATTCTAGAGAAATTAATAAATTTAATATGTGTATAAAGTTAATCAGAAATATATTAATACAAGAATTATTAAAGAGCTGGAAATGCTTAATCAAAATTGCTTAGAAATTAGTACTTTTGGATTTCTTCCTTCTCTAAAGTCTATGCTGTATCTTGGCTGTATCTATCTATTCTTGGACATATTAAAATTTGGTTTCCTCTAGTGATTTACTACTACATTCTAAAAAGACAAAAGCCTTGTTAATGCAATATTTTATTATTTTCATTCAGTGAACTTGTTACCAACACACCTTAGCCTTCAGTAATATAAAACAATCTGTATTATTTAAACAGGCCACTGGGTGTCAGAACTGCACTGCAAGAGTAATAAACACAGTTTATGCATATATCCTGCCTGACTTAAGCATCCACCTATACCCAGTTTAGATATCTGAAATTTATTTTCTAACTATATTAAATTCTGAATGATTTATCAATCTGGCATTTCTACACCACCATAATTTCTACTCTCCAATCCTTTCTAGGCAGTTCAAACACTAATTTTACGCTACAATTTTGGATTGTTGAAAACATCATGAATTTTTTTTTCTTACTGTCCAATAGGAGAGGTCAAAACCAGCATCAAGTATCCATATTTAGGCTCATATTGTGCACGATTTGACTATAAATGAACCATTACTATGAGGGGGAGTTGAAAATCAACAAAACACAATTTGTTTCAAATAGCAGCAAAATTTCTGTGGGGATAGAAGAGAGGCTGAGCTGAGATAAGCTGAAACACATGTTAACAAATGGGATCATGACCCACTGGTAAAGACATAAGCTTTAACATGGAAATAGCAACATCATCTTTCCTGGAATTGTAAATACTGTGCAGCTGAGTCAGAAATAAATCAGCTCAGCTGGTGAAATAAGGCAATGGCTTGAGATCACACAGGTGCAGTTACTTCTGTGAAAATGGTGAAAATTCTGGAGTGTGTGACAGTCTTTTTACTCATTAAATGAGGACTTTTTAAAAAAGGGTATCTGTTATTAAACAGTAAAGGAATTTGCTCCTGCTTTCTATTCATTTTTATTTTATAATGCTTTAAAGCATTGTAAATTTTCTTTGCCTTTAAATGCAGATTGTATTGAACCAAAATAGATGCTTGCTTCATTATGCATTTTCATCTGATTTTGCCTCCAAATAAACATAAACAAAATGGAGAAAGGAGGTTATAACTGGATGGTACTGTATATGCTTCATATGCAAAAGATCTTAATGTTCATTTAGGGCCAAAAAATCTTGGGGAGAACTGCTGCCTCAGAATAGGCAAACTTTTCCTAACATAGTGGCATCCAAATGTAGGCATATTATTATATTCTGCCATTACGGCCCCTGGGTATGAAGAGAGCAATATTCCTACAATTTTTTGCATGAGTCAATATAATTTAAAAAAATAGAAAATAAATGTGAGCAATGTATTTTTTTTTACATATACTATTGTATGTCTTCAACCACTGCTATTTCCCTTGTACCCAAATAGCACTGACTCAAGGAAAGTAAGGTTTTTTTAATGTTTTTATTAGCAAATCCGAGAGGACAACAACAGAAATCAGGTTAATGTCCTGTGTTGCATTATTTTATATGTCCCGGATACACAGTAAAGCCGCAGCTACGATGTCATTGTTCCAATCTCTTCAAAATCTAAACGAACATTAAAGTACCACCAGATGTTAATATGTACTAAATCACCTTTTTAACTTTTAAAAAAGGACAGTGGTTATATTTCAAAGCAATATAGTGAAAAACTATCAAACACTTTATTGTAACACTATGTTCCGTAATACTTGCTTCTCATATATCTTAAAATCACAAGTACATTTATGAACCAATCAGTCTCCTCAAAGAAAACAACAGAAACTGCACGTTAAAAAAAACTATAACTCCCATAATACTTTCTTAGACATGCGCTGACACGCGCAAGTCGAGAACGGAAATGCGTGCGTATTCCATAAGACCCGCCTCTCGCTATCGGACGCCATTTTGTCGCCGACTTTCAGCCGCCGTACGACGGTGCTTTTTTTTTCTTAAAGGAGAAGCGACAATGTTTTTTTTTTTTAAATCCCCTGCAAGTATGAAACACCGAAAACTGCGGTCGATGTGAAACTGAGGAAACAAGTTTCTGGAAGGTACCTCCTCTCTATCCGCTTCACTCTTGAAAATAGAAGCTCGGGGATAGACTGACCCAGACCGCGGGGCGTGTTGTGAGGAGGAGGAGGAAGAGGAGGGGGGAGTGCGACAGCAATAGGATGAGCGATACTTCTAGTTTTATTGAGGCCACTTTAGAGCAATAAATGTTCTGGAGTTGGAGATAAAGCGCGTGGGACATTTACAAACGCCTTTTCGGCAGGGCAACGGAGGGCATTTAATTTGGCGCGCGGGAGCTAACTGTTAAAACGGCTCAGTTATGCGAAGCGCGCGCCACGGCCAGAATTCCGACAGCGCCCCCGCGCGCGCGCGTCCCCGGTGAACCTCGCCCGCTGATTGGCCTGGAACGAACCAGCCCGGCTTGCTGCTGTTATTGGCTCGTTTTGGGAGAGAGGTGGGTGAGGTGTGTGTCTTTGCATTTCTCTCCCGATTGGATGACACGGAGAGGTCTTGCATCCTGCTTGAACTCCGAACTTGCTCTTGATTGGCCAAAGTCACGCGAGGGGCGGGAGTCCCGTTATAGAGGCGGAGTGAACGGCGGGTGCTGCTGTCAGAACCGGGGGGTTAGCCGCTGTTGGGGCCTCCTCCGCTAGCTGCTCTAATGCCGGGGGCGCCCGAGCAGGCGGAGACCCAGGAAGAAGAACCACAGCAGCAAGAGAGAGAAGAGGAACGGAGTCCGCCTCCTAGCGGCCGCCGGCGTCCCCTTCCCCCTCCCACAGTCGCCGCCGAGCAGGGGGCGGAGTCTAGCGGCAGTCGGGTGCTCCGTGGAGGTCGGGAGCGCGGACGAGCTGCAGCCGCGGCAGCGGCCGCCTCCCGCCGAAGGAAAGCCGAATATCCGCGTCGGCGCCGAAGCAGTCTCGGCGCTCGGCAGAACCAAGAGCCGGAGGAGTTGCCGCCTGAAACTGGAGCGCCGCTCTCGGCCACTGCACCTTCTGGGGCGACCGGTCGAAAGGGAACGGCACGCAGCTCGTAAGTATCCAAGCCTTCTAGTGCTTTTGGAGAGGTAGAAAGTTTTTGCCTTTAGTTGGCCCCGGTCGCAGTCTGTGACTTTCGACTGCAGAAACTTGCAAAAAGTAGAATTTTAATACTGACTTTTCTCCGGTTATAAACTAGAGGGGCCGTTGCCTTTCACGTTTGTTGCAGGTTGGGTTGTTTAGAAGAGGGGCCTCCAACCTTGGCAACTTTAAGACTTGTTGGACTTCAACTTCCAGAATTCCTCAGCCAGCTAGCTGAAAATTTAAAGTTGCCAAGGTTGGAGACCCCTGGTTTAGAAGGGTGTTGATTGGTGGGTACCTTTAACTGAATTCTTGCACCCTAACTAAAGCTGTAATAAATGTCTTGTTCTCTGAATCACTTTTCCCCCCATAAATATGTATTGTTCAGTACATCTAACATCAGTATTTTACCTTTTATCTACTGTAAGTTGTAGAAAAGTGTTGGTGCCTCTTTGTGTAGCTCTAACCAATTTGCAGTAACCCTGCATACACCTTTATTTGAAATAAGTTCTATGTATCTAGTAAAACTCAGAGTGAATAGTCCTAAATTTAGATTTTAGATTGGAAATAATCTAAGCTTTGGGTGGGGAATTTTTTTTTATTAATTTATATAAAATAACAAAAGAAAATAGGAAAGATAGGGGAGGAAAAAGGGAAAAGAAGAGTGTAGGAAAAAGAAAGAAAAGGCATTGACTTCCAACTCCTTGGTGCAGTAGAATAAGATAGAATCCAACTTCAGCTTTTTACTTTTACATAATAGTATAAACTAGCCATGTCTATAACAACAAACCTATCTAATCTGTAAAACCCAAAATCAAAATTTCAATTTTCCACCTTAAGTACAAAGTACAGAATTGATTTCCAAGTAGAAACCAAAGTAATTGTGTTTTTTTCTTTAATCAAAACAATCTAGCCATCTGTTAACTTCAACTTTTGCAACCATTCATCCATTGTGGGTAGGGGGAATATTAGAAAAAAGATTTACATACCCATTATTGTATTTTAATTTTGTTGTATTATAATAAAGGTGAGCATCCTCGATTTGTGCAGGCCTGGCTTCTACGTGTATAAGGAAAAATATATGAGTGAGATGACTAGAAAAATACACATTTAGGAACTTCTATAAACATCTACATCTTAGTATTGGGCATTGTGCTAATTCACATCACATGTTTAATTTCTATTTCAGGTGCTTGGATAAAGCAACAGTGAAAGGTAAGATTTAAATTATCCAACAGAAGGATGGGTGGTGATTGTTAAGATACATCATCAATGGTCAGAAACACTGAACTTGAGATAATTGGATGTCAGCACTTTTATCTTAGATTGGGGTGCCGAGACAAGCTTGTAATCCTGCCAATGTACTAATTTGTCATGCTTCTGACTGAATCCCTCTCTGAGCTTGAGGTGATCTGGAGAAGGAGGAGATTTTCATCATCCATTGCCATGGTCAAATAATTCCTTCATCAGTACCACTGACCTTTTGGGACAGTGGAATCTATTTGAATGGTCTGTCTCGGGCAATTGCCAGCAGATGCTGGGGAGTTTCCTGACACTCTGGAAAACTGTTCCATTCCCTGCTTAATACATAACTGGAAATAGAAGTCACTCCAAGCTTGGACAGTGTTGCTCTGAGCTTGGTTGCCACCATCCCTCTGGCAACTGATTTCAGTTAGCGGCTAAATATTCTGCAGCTCTTCGGGAAATGAAATGTCATCTGGAGGAAATGCCAATGGAGGAAAACAAGAAGCTAATCTGATTGAGCCTGGGTATGTGCCCATGTTCAAGGCTACATTGTTTCAGTAAGGAAGGCAAAACATGTTTATTTCTCCTCATTTCATCAGTGGTCTGTCATTCAGAAGCCTTATTTAAAGTAATTCTTTTCTGGGAAGAGGCAAGATGAACATCTCACATCTGGCTGCTATGAATAATGTCACTTTGCTAATAAATTGAATCTGAATCTTTTAATAATGAGTATTGCACCGTGTTATAAAGTTTGGGACTCTTTTTGGTCTGTGACATCCAAGGAAGTAGAATACTGTCTAGCTTTTCATCTATGCCTACTTCTTGCCCCTTGCCCATCCTGACTGTTGTGAGCAACCTGAATCCAGAAAATTGTCAATGCTGTTTCTGAGGAGATGATTTCTGTCAGTGTTGAGGTAGACTAACTGAAACCCTTCCAGTCTAATTTCAAGCTTGGACACGGGACAAGCACATCCTTGACCTTGGAATTTAGATGAGATTAGTGCACCTCTTCATTCTTTTGGATCTCCTGGTAATGTTTAATGTTGTCAACCATGGCGTTTTAGTGGAGTGCCTATGGAGTTTTGTGATTACAATCAGAAGTAGTTTTGTAGTGGTTCCTCTTTATTTGTTATAGGTAATTTGAATTGGAGAGGGGGTGAGAGGTTGGTCTGATGCCTCTGTTTTATGGTGTACCACAAGTGTTGGTCCTCTCTCTCTCATATTTTGTAATATCTAAAAGTATACTGGGTTAGGTCATCTCAGTGGTTCAGGGTATGCTGATGACATCAGCACCATTACTATAAGTTAGTGGTTCTCAAACAGTTTGGTCTTGGGACACCTTTACATCTTTAAAGATTATTGAGGATGCAGAAATTTTTGGTTAAGTTTATATCAATATTAACCTCATGAGAAATTAAAATAATTTTTAAAATATTTACTTACTGGACTTCGTGGATCCTTAGGGCACCCAAACCCTACTTAAGAACCACTACTGGGGGGGCAAATTTCATGGACTCCTTGCCCAGTGCTAGGAGGCAGTAAAAGTCTGGATAGGAAAGAACCTATTAAAGCTGAATCCTAGTAAAACAGAATTACTGTTTTTGCATTCTCTGCTCTGGATTCTCTGTTGGCTAATGTCTCTAGATGGACAGACATCAGCCTTGAAGGAGTAATTTGCAGTTTGGAGTTCCTCCTTAATTCATGATTTCTTCTCAAACAGCAGATATACTGTAGACTGACTAGAGAAGACTATCTGGGTTTGTATGGTGCACCAGTTGCACCCCTACCTGGTGATGAAGGACCCAGTTACAATGATTTCCTGACATATTATTGTAATTGCTGTAGTGTATTTGCTCTTTGAAAACTACAACTGGTCCTTGCCAACACAGATAATATTTTGCAAGTCTTTTACTGATTACTAGTGATCTTCAAGGTATAATTTAAGATGCTGGTATTAATCTATAGACAGCCAACTTGTCTAGTGGTTAAGGCATGAGGCTAGAAAGCAGAAGGTTGTGAGTTCTAATCATGCTTTAGGCATGAAATCAGCTGGGTGACCTTGGGCCAGTCCCCCTCTCTCAGCTCTAGAAAAGCAGTGGCAAATGGGTGGGATTCTGCCGGCTCTGTCCACTTCTGTAGAACCGGTTGCTCTGAAGAGCAGCAGACATAGAACCGGTTCTATGTCTGCTACTGTTTTGACCCGCCCACCCGGGCTCTTACCTGTCCTTTATTTCCTGCTTTTTCAAACTCAGCTGCTTTGTACAGCACAGCTGCGGTTGAAAAAGCAGGAAAAAAGGGCTTTTCCAACCACTGTGCACCCACACACAGCACTGCTCAGCTGTCCGGGCAGCTCAGCGGGTCGTAAATTGCACTCACGCAACTCGCACATGCGCATGTGACGCAGAGCGGTAGAACTAGTAGTTATACCGGTCAGATCCCATCCCTGATGGCAAACTACTTCTGAAAAACCTTGTGAAGAAAGCTGCAGGGACTGTCCATGTAGTCATCAGATATTGTCACTTAGCCATAAGTTAAGGACTACTTATAAATACTTATTTGCTCTTGTTTATATTAGTAAGGAAGGGTAATCAGCAAATTGAAAGTCTTATTTTTCTGGAAAGCAAACATTCAGGAAACCAATATAGAAATTAAACATGTTTTATCCTGTAATCCCTTAATTCGGGATAGAGTTGGAGTGACTGGATGGACCTGAGCGTTTATTGGTCAGATGCCCTTCCTGACGCCATGTGGAATTCGCAGCAGATATTTTTCTTTGCACCCTAGGAGAGAAACATCTGCTGCTACCTAGGATTGAACTTTCAACTTTGAGTGGGAGGCAAGCACCTTTACCACAAAGCCTACATGCAGCTCTTTTTATTTTAAAAAAATGTGAAAAAATCAAAAGGTTTTTGTGGAGGTTTTTTTATTGTCTCCAGTAGCTAAACCATGCTGCAGTAGTATTCAGAATCAATTTTTTATGGTTTGTTTTTTGTAATACTGTTGTGATGCATACCTTCATTAGGGTGAGTAAAAATTTAGAAGTAATTATGAGCTTGAATTTTATTAGATCAGATTCATGGATAAGGCAATTTACTACAATTGACAAAGTTGTATTAGAATGCTATGTCCGGTCTTGGTTATATGTATGTAAGAAAAAGGTGTACAAAGTAGACTATTCATTTCATTTTTAAATTAATACCTCCTGTCTTCTTGATTAGATATAGTTAATTAAAGTACTCTGCCCATTTGTGACAATTACTCTGCGTCTTTTTTTTTTTTTTTTCAGAATATTTAACAGTGAAACCTCTTTTGTTAATTATGATCTGGATAACATAGGCTAATAGGATCTGAAACTACTCTGTGGGACAAAGTCCTGAAGAGAGAGGAATAAAGCCTCCTTAGATGGAATTTTCCTTCTTTATCTGCAGAAACAGACAAATAAACTAATGGCTTTGCCTTTCTAAAAGGGATAAACACTTCTTTGATCTATTTCAGCTCTGTGATATTAAAAACTCAGAAATTTCCTTTCTTGATCCAAGTGCATTATATATATATATATATATTTATATCACAGATCCCAAAGAAGAGACAGAAGAGAAGGAAGTTTCCACTACTGTGGCAGCTGGTGCCTCAGTCACTACAATTAAACCCAGCCGGGGTTGGCGTAGCAACAGGGCAACTACGACTGTTCAGCAATATGATGCAGAGAATTCCCGAAGTTCCAGATCAAAGACAGGGTCCCTGCAACTCATTTGCAAATCAGAACCAAATTCAGACCAGCTAGAATTTGGTATGATGGTTTTTGTTACTGGGAAATAAAACAATAGTATTTTCAGTGAGCTTGTAAAACTTATAATAAATATAAATAAAATCACAGATGTTCTATTGTCCCACAAGGAAGACTGTTAAAAAGATAATTTTGGTTAATCACATACAACAGAATATATACTCCCAAGACTTTAAAAGCAAAATTATTCATTGAGTAGTATGTACATTATTTTACTATTATATTTGTCTTGAACAAGAATTTCCTGTATTTCAATTTAGAGGCTTAACATCCATCATTTTAGCACAGTAGCATAGATATTTGTAAATACTGATATATAGGTTGTTCAGATTTCTACATCTAAATATGTTTCTTTTGTAGAAGTTACTGAAGAGCATTCATCTCCAACTAGAATCAGGTAAGGAATTATACAGTGGCTAGAAGATTAGCTAGGATACAAAATATCCTGGTTCATAAACAGTAGTTTAAAAAACTATTATCCTTGAGTTGAACTTAACTCTTGGTGACTGATTGGGGGCAACCATGTGGTTTTCTGAACAATATTGTAGAAATGTCTTAGGATTGCTATCTTCTAAGATATTCTTTAACTTTTGAGTATAGCTTATGGTATTTAATTCTCTACCCAAGTAGTAACGAGACCTGATTTCTGCTTTGTTTCCAATTCCGGACACTACCAGGTGCTAGGAGGAATAGAAGTTCAGGGAAACTGTTTTAATCTTTTGAGGGGATTGTTCCGAAATGATTATTAAATACAAAAGTATATTATTGCTGCAATTTAGGGAGTGTTATCATTATGCAAGTAATATGTATCATTTGTGGCAAAATTTCTATATGGAGGTTCTCAATCATCCAGGTCATGGTTGTCCCAAAGGTGTTTTTCCAAAAGGCAACTTCACTTTCTTGTTTTTTTTATTTGAAAACGTTTTGCTTCTCATCCAAGAAGCACTGAAAAAAGAACCTTTGGTATCATATGTGGCAATTTTTGCCATATATTGATGACATGCAAATTATCACAGATGTAAATTTCATGGAATGCTTCATCCAAAATACTTTGCATTCAAGAACTTTCTGGAGGCTGTCAAGATCATAATTTGGTCAGTTGCATTTGAGGAATGCTAAATGGGGTTCCATTAAATATAATATATATAAAATATAATATATAATAAACATCTGTTAAAGTAGTGAATAGATTCATATACAACCCAGGAATTTATCTTGTTAAGATGATTTAAAATACTAGTTTTATTTTTCTCTTGCCTGTGTCACCTTAACAAGAGGTATGCTGTAGGTTGTCTTGAATGACCAGGTAAACATTTCCTGATTTTGAAAAATGGTTGTTTTAACTCCAGGATGTAAGTGTGTGTGTGTGTGTGTGTGTGTGTGTGTGTTTTGTAAACTTAGGTGACTACATATTTCCTCAATAAGGAATGAACATATAATTGAATTAATTCTCCTGCAGGACTATTGTAGAATCATTATAGTACAGTTTCACAGGAACTCTAGTGTCAGATTTTCTCTATCGTGAATGTGACTCTCTTGAAACTACAGAATTGTTGAACATATGTTTGGTATTTGAGAAAGCTTATTCTCTGGAGTCCTTGGTGCTCTCTGAGTTGGTGCTTTTCATGCAGATCTTTCATTAACTGGCTAGGTAACATCTCCAGTGCTAGAAGAGAGAGGGTTTTGCAGCAGAGAGGACTCTATAGGATTCGACAGTTCAATCCTGAGCTATATATATTCTTTTGTATTGAAAACTTATTCTATTATATCTGGATCCTATGCCTGTTGGAAAAAATGTCCAGAAAGATTTAGGTCTGTGTTCTAATGGCACTTACACTATAACTGACCATAGTCAGCTGATGTCTTGTAATTATATAAAATTTCTGAGCTGATGACAAGCTCAGTTGTGTTTTCTCTTCTGGACCTAAGTTATCCAATATTTTAGGAATATAAAAAATTATGTCCTTACAATCTAAAAAAATAGTTAGAAAGTAAGGTCTAAATGTTCTGCTATATTTAGTAACTCACATTAATTGAACTGTTGCTAATATGATTCCTTAGTAAATGAATATGTTAACATATTCTTTCTAGCACATGTTCTGGAAGAGATTGGTTTACATTAATAGAGGACTAGAGATCCATACAGTATTGCCTCTTATCCAGTAAGTGTAACTGAAAAAAATTACAAGATAGAGGTTATAAGAATAGACACATAAGAGATCTTGACTGTTTTCTGTCCACAAATGTTTACTTCATGCAAAAATTGTATTTTCCCTTTTCTTTCTCATTGTCAAGTGATGAAGAAGAAATGCTCATCAGTGAAGAAGAGGTTCCCTTCAAAGATGATCCCAGAGATGAAACTTACAAACCCCATTTAGACAGGTGCTCTATTTTATTTTTGGTGCAGAGAGCAGTTGTATAGTTACTTCAAAACAGGATGGGCAGCAAATAAATTATTGTCAGTCTAGCCTGTTGTAATAAACTATCTCACTGCTAGAACTCTTAAGTCTTCTGTTACAATTCTGCTACTATGGCCAAATAAACTGTGTTAAATAATTAAGACCAGGACTATGCATATTTAAAATTGCAGATATGACAAATACCAAAAAGAAATCCATGTTGAAGAACTATCTATAAACTTCAGTATGACATTTCACTAGAACAGGGGTGTCAAACTGGATTCCTTTCAAGGCCTGGATCAGCATTGTAGTTCTCCCCTGGCCGGCCCAGGGTAGGGGTGGGTGGGGCGGACACCTTCTGCAGCACCCTGCTGGCTGAAACAGGGCATGGGGGGAGGCCCCATTTTGGCCAGCAGGGTGATGCAGGAGGCCCACGCCTTGTTTTGGCTGCCAGAGGCACCACAGGTCAGTTTTTTGTAATTTCCAGGCCACCCTCACAGGCCAGATTTAAGCACCAGATCTGGCCTGCTGGCCTTGCGTTTGACACCCCTGCACTAGAATATTCATCTAGAAAATATTTACGTTCTTGGGTATGTAATATATAATGGTTATCTGCAGAGATGCTCCAAAGCAAAGAAAACAAACTGGGAAAGGAAAAGAAGAAAAAGAGAAACAGAAGGAGATTAAAGTGGAAGTGGAAGTTAAAGAAGAAAGTGAGTTTCGAGAAGATGAGGATCCGCCTAGGAAGTGAGTATCCAAGTGTTAGATGCTGTGAATTAGAGTGTAGCCAGTCCTCTAACTCTCAGTAATACCAAGACTTTGAAAGAAACAGACATGATATTCTTCCGATTAAAATCGGAATTCCGATTTTTTGGGGAATCGCCCCCCCTTTCCCCCCACCCCTTCTTCTCCACCTTCCCCTCCCCTCGGAGGCCCCGAGTCAGGAGTTGCTACCGCTGGCGCGGCTCTGCACGGCTCCAGTCCCGCGTTGCCTTGGGAAGGGAAAGGCAAAAAGGAAGAGCCGCGGCAGCGCTTTGCAACGGCAGCAGCGGCTCCCGGTTTTGCCTTTCCCTTCCCAAGGCAACGCGGGACTGGAGCCGCGCTGGCGGTAGCAACTCCTGACAGCCCCAGTCCGGGTGGTGCAAGCGGAGGCCGCTGAGCGGCAGGAAAAGGGAGCTGGGCAGCCACAGACCAGCCTCCGTGCAACACGCCACCGCCTGGCACTGGCGAGGGAAAGCAGCGGGCGTTCCCCGGGCGGCAGCCTTGGCCCCACCACCAGGGAAACGGCTGCCCAGCTCCGGAGCTGATCCTCACCTGACCAGCTGGAAAGGAAGGGTGTGTAGCGTTGGTGTTGTATGTGCGATTTCTTGGCGTGCAGCGGGGGGTCTCTTGGCTGGCCCTGATTTTTTTTTCAGAGTGGAATATCATGCCTGAAGAAACCAAATTTAGGGATGGTTCTTGCTCAGCAAAATACCCTTCAGTTCTGAGATTGGTTAGGGAGTCAAGCTGTTGGTTACTGCATTTGAATGACTAAAATCAATCGGGTGGTTGTTTAAAAGTGTTTTAAATGGCACCACTTTTAGAAGAACTGAAAATGGAACTTAAAAAGTACAAAGAAGATGCACAAGAAGGGAGAGGGTTTTTTTTTTTTTTGCTTCATATTTCAATTCTGAGAAATGGAGATTTGGAACTATGAAACAACAAGAAACGCCTGCAGAACAAGTAGATTGGGACAAAGAAGAAGCCATCTTTAATGAACAAGTAATTTTATGTAGGGGAAAAAAAGGAAAGGGGGGAAAGAGAATTAAAAGTTTAAGATTTAGAAAAACAACCCCCAAAAAGAATAGTTTGAAAAATAAATATAAAATTAGAAAGCAACAGAAGAGGGAAATGCAGAAGAGAGAATTAGAAGTAGAGAGACAAGGGGGGTAAAAAGAGGAGGGAGAAGAAGAGAGGGAAGAAAGAAAGGAAAAGAAGTGATAAAGGTCAGAAACAAGATATAGAGAAACAGGGCCTAGTTAGAGATAATGGGTGAAAATCTAATTGAAAAAGGGATTCTGCAAAGGTACATGATAGTATTGTTATATTAGAAATAGAAATAATTTCAGAAAATATGAAACAATGTATGATTAAAATGATGGATAAAATAGTTATCGTAATTTAGTGGAATGTTTGTTAATAAATAAATATAATAAAATGAGTATTTAAGGATTTATAAAACATAAGTGAAGAGAAATAGGGGAAAAATTAATTATGGAAAGATTATACGTGTCCCCAAGGAAGTATGATATTTAATTGAAAAGAAATGTTAAGACTTTAATGAATATTAATGATAGAACTGAATTGGAATGGAATGAGGGTTTTAATTACATATATTTATAATCCTTTTTTTAAAGAATATAGTGTGTATTTTAAGAATGTACGAAGCAGAATTTGATTGGAAGTTATGTATTATGTATTATATTGAATGTTATAACCTTAAGGTGTACATTGAAGTTTAAATAAGAGTTGAATGGATAAAATTAAAAGATATAAAGGTGTCATACTCCAATTAGTAACTACAGGAGAAAATTTGTTTAATGAGAAAAGATAATATGAAATTGAAACAGGACAGACAAAAGTATAAATATAATGATTTGAATTGAGATGAGATAATCAAAATAAACTTGAGAAAAGTAAAAGAGGGGAAAAACTATATAGAAAATGCAAAATAGTAATAAGATATGGAATAGAACACAAAAACGAGCATGAAATTGAGTTTGTGTTGGTATAAAGAAGTGTTACCTGGGACCATGCTATTTTCAAAATAGATGTTTTACTTGTATAATGTTTTTGTGTGTGTGTGTGAAAACCCAAATAAAACTTTAAAAACAAAAATTCAGTTACATATTTCAGGTATGCCTTCATTTTCATGTTTCACTTTGTCTTGATGTTTCAGGAGAGGAAGGCGGAGAAAAGATGACAAAAGCCCTCGACTTCCTAAAAGAAGGTAAGTTGTTTTTGTATTGCTTAAAAAGATAATCGTAGGTAAAAGAAACAACGCTGGCCTGGATGAAAGATTTTGGACATAGCATAAATTTGGATGATTGGCAAACCTTATGGGATAGAAATAAAAAGATAAACTTGGTGGCACCATATAAAGAAAACTTATATAAAATGTTTTTATCAGTGGCACATCGCACCATCAAAATTGGCAAAAATGTACCCGAAACTATCCCCCAAATGTTGGAAATGCAATGAAGAAATTGGAACATATCACTTATGGTGGAATTGTAAGAAAGCTCAAACATATTGGCGGAAAATTCAGAAATGGATAGAAGAGATGTGCAAAATTAAAATAGAATTCAGACCCAAAAGTTTTCTATTGGGAATTAATGTGGGAAAATACAATAAGGATGTAATATACTTAATAATCCATGTCACCACAGCTGCAAGGTTAGCTTATGCCCAAAGATGGAAAGATAATGAAACACCAGATGAGATGGAAATAATTAGGAACATTTGGATGTGCGCCGAAATGGATAAATTAACTCAAGAATTAAAAAATAAGACCAAATCTGATTACTATAAAATTTGGGAGAAGTTTTACCACTGGTTGAAAAAAGGAATTATTTACTGATGTAAGACAATTAGGTGTGTCAGGATGTATGCACCATGTTCATTGTTGTATTTAAATGTCTTTCTTTTTTGTATATTTAATAAAATTTATATATTTTTTAAAATAAGATAATTAGTACAAACCCATTTACTAATTAATGAATATTTAATATATTCATCTCTTATTTTTTCTTAGTTTTGTGTGAAAGTAATGAAAGAAACTTGAGATAGGAAATAGATGTTAGCTGTCTAATTCATCAGCTATTTGTAAAAAAGCCATACCTAAGGAGGTACCTTCCTAAACTGCACTGCAATCTTACATCTACTGATCTTTCAATGTTATGAATATAGTATACTTTCAGAAATTATTAAATTCAGTCGTCCTATATATTTGTTAGACATGGTCATCTAAGGAAAAAAAAGAAACTATACAATTTATCACACCTGTAGATAAATTCATTGCATCAAAACTGTATTGAATAAGTCACAAAAATATAGCAAATTCCATAAAGTTGATAGCAAGCCAGAAAATTTTAAAGGGATAAATAACATTTCTAGAAGTTTTGATTTTCACAACTTCTTGTTCCCAAGAACTATATTAAGCTCTGTTTGACAACTTAATATTTTAAAGAAAGGCTTGAGAAATTTGTGGAACAAAATATAAGCAGAATACAATATTTCTTATAGTGGATTTTAAAGATTGCACTTAATTTAAATTACTTGTATTTAACATTTATGCTAATGATGAAATTAAATCATTTAATATGGTTTTTAACACTACTGAGCTCTTATTATCCAGCATGTACATTAGAAAAGATACTGTGTTACAGGTGGTCCTTGCATAATGGCCACTTAGTGACAGTTCAAAGTTATGATGGACCCTCTAAAAGCGGCTTATGACTCGATTCTGGAGTTGCGACAGCTGCACATTCTCTTGTCACATGACCACATTTTAGGCATATGGCAACTGGCCCACCTTTATGGCTGGTTGCAATGTGACTGTGATTTATGACTTTTTTGCTGGTTTCTGTTTAACGACTGCCACAAAAAAAGTAATAAAATCAGGTCTGATTATGTGGGTGCCTCGATTTACAACTATCATTCCTTATGATGAAAATTCCAGACTTTATGGTCTCAAATTGAGAGAAACCTGTTTATTTATAATATTTGTCAAAGTTGTGCTGTTTCCACTTTGTTGTTCACTAATGTGCATTTTAGGAAGAAGCCTCCAATACAATATGTACGTTGTGAAATGGAAGGATGTGGCACAGTTCTTGCACACCCTCGCTACCTACAGGTAAGAATGTTTACAAGCAAGGGAAGGAAAAAAAGATGACCTTCTTTGTTCTCTATTAATTTCTTCTTTTCTTCTCTTCTGTGGACTAGCCTAAAAAACATTGCAACAATTCTCTCATGCTCCAAATACCAAATGCTTGTTTCATACCATGGCATAACTTAACTTTTCAACCTTGTTCATGATTCTTTCTCCTGAAATGCTGAATTGTAATTTATTTTTTCTGACTACAGCTCAAGGTTGACTTAGCCTTCTATCCTTCCAAGATCAGTAACACGAGGACCCAGATTGTTGGGGGCAATATGCTGACTGTGTAAACCCCCAAAGAGTGCTGTAGAGCACTATGGGGCAGTATATAAATCTTATAAGTGCTATTGCTGCTTTTTCATAACCTTTTGCCTCTTTTTTTCCCCTCCGCTATTACATTTTGTTAATTTTATTATCAATTCCCACATTACACTATGCAGGATTTCTTGCTCTTCTCCTGTTTTGACATTAGTCTTACCCAAACCCTCCTTATTCACCCTATTCATTATGAACTATGATATTTTTTCTTCATCTGTTTTTCTTTAGCATTTGAACATCCCATTGTTTTTCTTGTGCTTAAATATATATATTTATTTTGCAATTATTACCTCATGTATCTTCCTCTGAGTTCTAGACTACTGGAAGGTACTTTTTATTCTCATAATTTCAATATTCTCACATCTAAATCTTATTGCAGAATCTAGACTCAAAAAATTTCACAGGGATAAGAAAGTGAAACATCTTTTACATCACTGGTAATATGGCCTTCGTTGTTAGATTTTTAAAAAATCAAATTTTATTTTGCTATTTTAAGTGTGGTTGAATACTCTTTCCAAATCGGTTTCCTTCATGTCTTACATTTCTGTGATTTTACTTTATTGAATTCCCTTCATTTATGTTTAAGGAATTGAATTTTTAATATTCTTCCTGTAAACTTTGTTTCCTTAGTAGCTTTACTCATTTTCTGCATCCATTGAAAACTTTCCCACTCATCCAACTAATAAACAGAGCCTTGGATTTATTGACTCCTCTCTTTTCTCCCTACCTCCCCACCTCTTGTTGCTTCTCCCTGCACAGCATTCCAAAAAAAACAGCCTTCCCTTCTTTTCTTTCAGCATAATTCCTTTTTATGTCACAATAATCTTTTACCTTGACTATTGCAATCTTTTTGGTCTTTTATCACACCTTCATTCACTCACACACATCCCACACAGCACTGAGTCAGTTTGGTTTAATGGTGAAGGTGCTGATTAGAGTCAAACAAATATCTATATTTTTAAAAGTGAGATAATTACAAATACCAAGACCTGTGAATAGAAGTAGAATGCCTATAGCAAAAGACAGCTAGGCCAATAGTAATAAGTGCTCTGGGTGTAATCCCAAAATGTCCAAAGCACCATTTGAACCTGATTGGCATTGACAAAAATCACCACCAGTCAATTGCAAAAGGTAGTTTTACTTATAACAGCTTACATCTAGTGATGATACATTTAAAATTCTTAAACAGCGTCTGCCTGTCTCAAGCCTTGTTTAAATATCTGGCTGACTGTGACCAAGCATAATGAAATTCTCATTATTTTGAACAACTTCAATTCTTACATCCCAATATTAGGGTAGATATTAGGTACAGATGATATTTGAACCTTAAAGCTTCAATTATCTATATTTCTTAGTCACTTTCCAAATTCTCTGTGATGTGTTTCTATTAAAAGAGCTAGTTTGGTGTGATTAAGGCATCAGGCTAGAAAGCTTGAGACTAAATTCTAGTTCTGCTTTAGGTATGAAGGCAAGTGAGTGATCTTGAACCAGTCATACTCTCTCACCCTTAGGAAACAGGCAATGGCAAGAAAACTTGGCCAGGAAATTGCCAGGAATCAACATTAACTCAAAGAGACCAAAAAAGAGAGAATTTTTTTCTATTCTATAAAATCTGTACACATAACATTTCCAGCATACGTTCTTTTAAGTTCATGTTTTAATCTGTATATTTATATTGAAATATAAGATGGCTATTAGAATATTAAATGTGTTTACCACTTTTTTTGTATAAGATTGCAGGTAATAAAAATAGAGTTTTCTTGTTTTCAGCATCATATCAAATATCAACATATGCTAAAAAAGAAATATGTATGTCCTCATCCCTCTTGCGGAAGACTTTTCCGGCTCCAGAAACAATTGTTGCGGCATGCCAAACATCACACAGGTAATATAGGTTGCAAAGAAAATCCCCACACTGTCTCTTTAAGGAGAAAAGTAAATTTCTTGAATAGCCAAGTCTTTAATTTATATATATAAGGCAATGTTGATGCAGATTGCTTCATGACAGATACACAGATGTTCTGTGGCTATATCTAAAATGAGAATGACTCAAACTGAAGGATACAGTTAGGATATTACTGCTTCCAGTCTTTTAATATTTCCTTTCCTCATTTCTTTTACCTGTAATATAGATAAGAATAAGTTACACTGATTCTGATATTCATAATATAAGAGATATTATGCAATGAATTACTATGATTTGCAATTAATATAAATAAGAACAATACCATATATGAAACCAGGCAATTGGAGTAAACTGCTTATTTGTCAGAAGTCACTTTTGACAAATGAACAAAATCAAGTTTTGACAAGGTTGGAACATACTGTCTACCTTCCTTATTTTTTAATCTCCCTATTTCAAAATCTGAAGTTCTATGAAGAGTTTGCAAGAATATGAGCAGAAAGGAACATATTTCCATTAAGATATGTACAGCTGCTTTTACCAAACTGGGTGATCTCTTGGTGTAAGTTTCAACTCCCATAATTCCATTGGTAGATGGAAAGCAATGGTCCCAATATCATTAACCAACAAGCGTTATGATCTTTTCGGGGGTGACTTAATTCCCCCCCCTTGCATCCTTGGGTGGGTGGGCGGCGACGGCTTGGATGAACCTGAAGAGGTTACCGGGAGAGGCCGCCCAAGGCAGTGATAGCACCCACCCATCTGTGGACAGGGAGGCAAGGCGACGGCCTGTGCCGTGTCCTCCAAGCTGAGCCCCGGTGAGTCAGCGCCGCTGCCCGTGCCGCTGCAGCGTTTGGAGCTGCCGGCGCATTTGGAGATACGTAGGGACGGAGACGGGTTGGGCGAGGGATGGAAAGGACGGGTGGCTTCGGGCTCTCTCGCCGGCCAGGGAAGCAGGGAGGAGCCCTGGCTGGCTGTGTGTGGCTGCACCAAATGCGCAGTGTTGCTCTAAATGCCGCGGCAGCACGGGAGAAGGGAAAGCAACAGTGGTGGAAGATCTCCCAATACGAAGTGCCCCACCAATGCCAAGGTCAACATCCAAGCCGTCGCCGCCTGCCCACCCGAGGATGCAAGGGGGGGAATTAAGTCACCCCCGAAAAAACGACCTAGCTGTTTTTTCGGGGGTCAAAAAAAAATAAGGCCCGGCCTTATTTTGTGAGAAACATGGTAGAATCATGGGCTAAAGGGAGGGAGGAGTAAAGAGGAATGTCAATGTGGAGTTGCTCCATGGGAGGAAGTATTATAGACCAGACCAGTGAAGCCTTATCTTCTGGTTCCCAAGGGAAAACAGCCAGTCTGGCAAGATTCTTGTAATATAGATGACCTACAATACAGAGCAATAAAGGAGAATAGTTGAAGCTCAAAGTAGAAATGAGGGGTCCTTGGTGCTCTCTGAGCTTCATTATTTTCTTGCAGATGTTTCATTACCCAAACTAGGTAGCAACCAAGCTCAGAGAAGGATGGCTCACTACAATAAAGGAGCTGTGTTGGCCTAATCACAAAGTTTGTTGCTTCCTTGTGCCTGACACAGAATGAATAATATATATGACCTTTCAAATACAATGAAAAAGATTTTAATTTATTTCCTCTTCCTTGGAGAAAGAAGAAAAACTAGAATATATAAACCTCAGAATAAGAATGGGACTGTTTCCTTAAGATTCTATATGAGAAATACTTCCTCGTCAGTATTAGAAAATCATATTTATCCTTTTAATGTTTTAAAATATTATTGTTAATACTGTGATTAGGAAATGGCAGATTCTTTTTGAATAGGTATGGATCTGGATTAGATTCAGGTTTTGATGTAAAATACTATGCCGCTTTACAGATCAAAGGGATTACATTTGTGAATACTGTGCCCGTGCTTTCAAAAGTTCCCACAATCTGGCAGTTCACCGAATGATCCACACAGGCGAGAAGCCATTACAGTGAGTAGTGTCCTTGATCTTGCCTATTTTGTTGTGAGGGATTAGACCAGCTGCATCGATACTTTCTTTTCCTTTGTATTTCTCAAATATTATTCTGACGAATAATGAATTGTCTTCCGCTCCCTCCTTTTTCTGTAGATGTGAGATCTGCGGATTCACCTGCCGGCAGAAGGCCTCATTAAACTGGCACATGAAAAAACATGATGCAGATACCTTTTACCAGTTTTCATGCAATATATGTGGAAAGAAGTTTGAGAAAAAAGACAGCGTTGTAGCACATAAAGCCAAGAGTCACCCAGAAGTGCTCATTGCTGAAGCACTGGCTGCCAACGCAGGGGCTCTCATTACCAGCACTGACATCTTGGGTTCTGATCCAGAGTCTATTGTCCAACCTACGGATGGCCAGGGCCTTCCCCTTCTTCCAGATCCCATTGGAAACACCACTCCTGGAGAGTGCCTATTGCTGGACTCTGATGGGATGCCTAAGGCCTACTGCAGTGGGGGTGACCGGGTCAACCTGATGGCCGATGGAAAAATATTCGTTGGCACCACTAGTAGTGAGAATACAGAAGGGCTTGTTATCAGTACAGAGATTCTTGGAGCTACCACTGAAGTTCTAATTGAGGATTCTGATTCTGGAGGACCGTAGTGGGAGAGGAGCACATGTGTATTGGGACAACTTGAACTTGTATTTAAAAGAATAAATCCGGAGAAGCAACTTATTCAACATAGAGAAACTAAACATAAAATAAATTACTAGTCAGATAACTAAAGGACCTGTCATCCCGTTCCCCCACCCCCCAGCTCACCCTTTTCTTGCAGAGTGGATCACTACACTACATTTTTTTCACTGTTTCCTTCTTGGAGAGGAATGTTGCCTTTACACAGAGATTGACAAAGCAAAAGAATTCTTGCAATGCTGGGAAGAGAAGTAGCTAAGCCTATCCCTCTCCCAGCCCTCCTAAAGTAAGCAAACTTCCAACTTCTTGACCATATTGCAAGATTGAAAATGCTTGTACTCTGGACCAATATTTCATTCTTGAAACTGTATTCTTTTCCTCCAGTTGTATCAACCTGTTCTATGCATTACTAAATTCTGACCCTTGCAAGCTCTTCTTTTTCATTTTAGGGCTTGGGGATATAGCTTGGCACTTTAGAACCCCTCCTTAGGATGAGCTGTAAAACAGCATATTTTCCCCATATTTTGTATCTTCCCATCCATAAGAAAAGAGAAGGGATCTTGAAATGTTGGTGCTTGCTTTCTGAAAGAGGAGTGCCATCTTTCCATATAAATTGCTCTGTGGGAGAATCAGCTTATAAATAGGCTTATAAAAGAAAACTTGCACTTTGTACATGTCTTTTTTTTAAAAAAGTTGTGATGAATTCCTTATTTATTTGCCTTCTTAAAGGGGTCTATTTTAGTTGCTGTCTAGAGAATGTTTTTGTTTCAAAACTGAACATCCTGTGTAAGGGATATAAAACAACAGGCTTCTTCAGCAATCCATGTTTAGGAATTCTTATTAAATCTGAGTGAAGGAAATACTTCGGGAGCAGGATAGGTCTTTAGCACCCTCTCTAGTGAACTGCTGTGAGCTCCTGTTTGCTTCAGCATTTGTTGTTTAAGGATGTAATGGCTATTCAAAAAAGTCGTGTCATGCATTCCCTCACTAACCACCCTACTATTTGCTTACTTACACTGTGGTGCTTTTCTCTCTTGATGTGGATGGGCTAATGCCATTAACAGGAAGCTATGTCTTGAAGAAGTTATATTAACTGCTTTAAAAAGCCTTGACTGCTAACATGCTCTGCCTCGTGAGACTTTGATATAACTTCAAACGTCATTTAGGGACATTATTTGATTTAGAGTGGTAGCAGCATCCGCTTTATTCAGCTTAAAATCCACTATTCTCAAATATATGCAATTGTTTCTGTAGAATTCGACTATCACCAGACAGGTCTAGATTTGGAGAGAGATAGGGTTTTAAAAACATGGAAATACCTTAAAAGATATATCACATGATTTATATAAACTCTTCACTGTTACCTGAGAAGTTATGATGGTACAATATCCTGGTAGTACTTTTCTGTTAATGACCTAACATGTGATCAAGAAGTAAAATGAATTTGCAATTTAGACTTTATTTTGGAGCTGTATCCTGTATAATTCTAATCCCTTCTGTATAGTGCTGGCTGGCATCAACTGCGATTATTCCCAGCAGATCTTTTTACAATGCTAATTATCTGAAAGGAAGACTTGTTTGTTTGTTACGTTGAAGCCAAGAATCAACAGGGTCTAAACTGAAGCAGTTACTGCAGTTCATTACATATTTTCTGTGATTCCTGCCTGGCTAGATGTTTGGCAGCCATTCAGATATATAATGTGTAGGTGGCATTGCATGCAGCTCAGGACTGCATGTTCCACAAGACTGTTACTGCTACAAATTGTGTGATTAGCATTGGTGCGAGAAAAGTATTTGGAGCTGAAACCATGTGCATACTACTGAGGAAACTGACTTCTGTCTTGCTTACAGTATGCAGTATTTTGCTAGGGTAATGAACAAATTACAATATGAGCCCTGTTTGGCAAATTACTTGAAGTATTTATTCTGTTTGGCTATCGATCTCTTGTCTGTTTCTAGCCTGTTTCATGGGGTGCAAGTGTGGTTTTATTAAAATAACAATCTTATATTTAGCCAGGATAACCATCTGCACTCTAGATGAAAACTTCTGATTTAGATTTGTGGTGACTGTTTATCAACCAATAATAATTCCTTTAATTTTGTTCCCATCACAAGCATGTGGTTTTGATTCAATCAATTACAGCTGCAGCAAATTATTTCTATTTTCTTCTAATAACACCCCCCCCCTTCTTTTCCTTCACTGGAAGAAGCATGGTGCTGGGAATTGAACTTGTTTAATTTTCCCTCTACCAGATGGATAGTTTACAGTAACTAGTTTAACATTGTTCCACTCCATATACAGTTGCATAGCTCACTCTGGTTCTCTAAGAGTTGGACCCCCTTCCTGTTAATATTAAAGGATAGTGCATATCACTTTTTGTCAGAAGTTGACAAAAGAGCTTTTTTTTTTTTTTGGTCACATGAATAATAATACTCTTTTTAGGCCTTTATTTTACTACAATATAACTGGTGAGAACACGAGTGTTAGGTGTTCTTCAAGGACTAGTCTTCTATTGTGTGAAAAGTACTCCATCTACTTCAAATAGTTTCTGAAAAATGGCACAATGCTGAAGTCTTTGCAGCTTGAGATAATTGTCAGATCTCTGGTAATATGGTAGCGAAGACCAGGGAGAACTGCACTAGCATTGTGAATCCTACCAGAGAGAGGACAGGATTTGCAATTTTTAGCAGAACTACCTGAAGTAGTAGCCACTGAGTGGCAACAGACCTGTGTTGCATTGTGGCACACCCCTATTTTTTAGTGTTAAATAACAGACGGTTGAGTTAACAAGTCTTTGATTCCTTAAAAGCCTTGTTGCGTACAAAATTTCCAGAAAGTGATAGTGGAGCTTTAGATGAGGTGCCAGGATGGAGGGGTGGTGATCCATGTTCATAGACATTTGTGTATACAGAAGTAAATAAAACAATTAAAAGGGATGCTTTTTTTTCATGTCATGTCTTTAAATTCAGGAAGCCATAACCAAAATAAATACTTAAAGGGAAAAGCAGTCTGTGTCATGTTACATGCCAGTTACATGGAAGATATTCACAAATGAAGTAGCTTCCTACACACAGCTGTAGGTCTTTCTTCAATGCCCTGCTCTGAAGATTGCCTAGGAAGGAAGCAACAGTGAGATGTGACTAAATGGAGCACCGTAATCAACTATCACTGTCACAAAGGAATGCATTTTTATAAAATGTGTCTGACTAGTTGAATGGTTAACTACATAATGCCTGTGAAATTACCTCTTTAATACATTGTGAAACTATCCCAAAAAGCGTGCATTATTTGTGGAAGTATCATGAAAAGTGGCTGTGTTTGTAAGTTAAAATGCTGCTGCATTATTTGAGCAAAAAAGGTAACTTATTCTCTCCTATCATGATAAATTTAATATTTCTTATACTGAGCTTCAAAATCTTTGGAAATAATGTTTTGCTTCAAATACAGAGTTGTAGAAAAATTGAACTACAGAATTTATTAATAAGAGTATTGTTTATGATTCAGTATGTTATTTTAAAGATCACAGCTTGAAGAGAAATAATCATGGCTGAATCATTCTTTTGGAGCTTTTAGGAAAAAGGGATGTTCCTTTTCTGACAAACAAAATTTATACATGCCCTGTATACTCCGTTCAGAAGAAAGGAAGTTGCCATTTTCTTCTGAGATTCCTGAATATTTTGGATAATACATTTCTTCCCCTTTTTACCCAGTGTGGGAGATTATGTATATCAGCTCAGTTATGACATTTCTAAGGAATGGAATGTTTTTGATCATGCATTGGCTATGTCAGTGACATTGGTTCTGTAACATTTGAATTTGGACTATCTAGATCTGTAGAAAATATAATTCTAAAATATCCTTCAAGGAGTTATAGAACATAAAGTTCATTACAAAGGCAACAGTACTGTACTCAGTATTTCTAATATTATTAGAAAGAGGAAACCAAATTGGAAATATCTTCTCAACTTAAATTTTTTGAAAATATTCTGAAGGATTGTATAGGATTCTGTCACCCTGAGTCACTTGTTGACATGGATAATTATCAAATTGATTAAATACATTTCAATATAGTAGAACGTTGAAGGAAATTGGAGCAATCTGCTTCATTTATGCTTCTGTTAAGATGCAATTGGGTACAAAATGAGTAAAAGATTGCTAGCACATAATGGCTTGTTTCAAAATATGTCAAACATGGTAGCAGGATTAGTGGATTTTTTTTAGAAAAACAATTGTACCATATACCGTATTTCTCATATAATAAGGCCATTTGTTTTTTTTGAGCTCCCCCAAAATGGCTAGGCCGTCTTTTCGGGGGTGACTTAATTCCCCCCGCTTGCATCTTCGGGCGGGTGGGCAGCAATGGTTTGGATGTTGACCTGGGCATTGGTGGGGCACTTCATATCGGGGTCAACGCAGGCAGCACCATATCCGGGTGTGCAACAAAAGTACTTCCTAATGGCAACCCCCCCCCACCATTCCCCCCATTTTGCATGTTTTAATATAGGCCTTAATTTGGGGGGAGGGGCTTAATTTCATTTCATGCCTATAAAACATGCTGGGACTTCCTATTGGGGGAGGCCATATTGTTGGAGAAACAGGGTAAGAATGTGACAAATTAGGGGGAGGCTAAAAAGAAATGTTTGGTGAAAACCAGTGAGTTCAAGCCAGATTCTTGAAGTCTGCTATATTAGACAATAACTTTAGACAATAACATATCCACCAAATAACATTGGTGGATCGGATTTTTTTTTCATACTGATGGAGTTAATACACTTAGTACTTGCAACAATTGACAAGCACATGATGCAGAAACCAATCTAGAATAGGGAAACTTCAGTGCCATCTTAAAACAGATTAGCATGCTATTATTAGGAAACCAGAATATTATAGCTTATTTTGCTAATCAGAAATGAATTATAAAGCAATTATGAGCCTGAAAGCCAGCTGGGTGACTGAGGCTAGTCATACTCTCAGCCCACCTCAAATCACAAGGTAGTAGTTGCGGAGAAATAGGAAGAGGAAGGAGTATTTTGTTTTTTCACCACCTTGAGTTACTTAAAATAAAGCTAGGGTAAAAATCAAAATTTAACTCACAAATAGTATTGTGTAATGAGATAGTTCCTCTTGAAAAGTTCATGACTTCATAGGTGCTAGCTGGAGAGTTGTAGTTCCTTTAGGAATTAAGATTTGAATTGTGCAGAATGTAAACAGTTTTTTAAAGATCACTACAAGGCTTAAAATTCAGTGTTGGATTGATTTGCTTCAGATTATTAAAACAAGAAAACTTAAAGCCTTATAGAAGTTGGACCGATTATCTTCTATTTTGATTTTACTAAAATACGCAGTTTACTTTCTTGTTGAGTTATGAAAACAAGTGCCAGAGAACTCTACCAAGCCAACAGAAACCCCATGACATAATACAATCATGTGTAACAATGGTTTGATGGCAATTTTCTGCTACAAAACTACTAGAATTTGAGGGTATTTTGCAGTTATACTTTTACATTTCATCTTTTATATTTCATATTTCATTTTCCTACAATGTTTATTTCATTTAAATTATTTAGTAGCTTATCCTTTATTCTTGTATGGCAGCTTTTATGACAATTATGAAAGCAACAATCACATCAAACATTACAGCATCAAAAAAAATCTTAAAAATAGGGGAAATTATCTGAATTATACAATTAGGGATTAGCACTGCCCATACATTGTACTAACCAATGCAAAAGCAAGTCAATCAAAACTGTTGGGCAATTCTTATTACTTTATGGAACTTTCATCAGATCAGCTTATTTTAAACTAAGAGGTTGAAATTTATTAACGGTATCTCAAATTCTGCAGTCAAAGAAACCTGTGTAGAATAAAATATATTCACAATGACTAATTCATGTTTCATGCTGCCACAATTTGCACACATTTTTTGACTATTTAAATCATAGGGTGCATTATACCAAACCATCTTGACTAGCCAAGCAAATGTTCCAGAATATGTAAGTAATTGATAAAAACTACTCCCAGATGATGCTAACACTTGTGCTTCCATTAAAAATGTAAACTCCGAAGGCTCATCAAGCCATATATCTTGTGTTTTAGGCAAGGGATAATGAGAGTTGCAGAACAGAAAATATTACGCAAGATTTTTAGTATCTATGACTTGTAGGAAAAAAGGAATATTGATTAAAGCATTGTTATTTTCCATTACATTTTATATGTTGATGGTAAATAGTACTAAATGTATGAATTGTTTGCATATTTCATCCATTTCTGGATAAAACTTGTTTAAAGGTTGGGGTTCTGCAAAAATGGCTTTCTCTTCACACAAGTGTATAAACAACAAAGAACAACAGTACCTTAGAAGTAACTAAAGCCATCCAAAGGACATGGGTGCTTTAAGAAAGGCTGCACTGATCATACCTTTTTTAAATGATTTGTACATTCTTAGTTTCAGTACAACATTTGGTCTTGCATATACTGAGTGCTCAAAAACCCATTTTTCATTAAATTAAACTGAAGAAAAAGTAAGAATCCAAATATATTTATGAAACATGCTCAGGTTCCTGGGAGAATACTTAAGAATGGTTGACTTAAACTACCAAACATTTCCTGAATAAAAAAGATCTCTGTTTAACCCTTTCAAAGGCAATAGAATTGTTAGCTTGGCACTGAGGTCCAGCTAGCCACATCTGAAAACAGCTTGTTAGGGATACACCCTAGCAGAATCTGCACAGCAGTCAGGCAGGCAAAGTATGTGAGATAAACGTTTTTGTAGCTTGCACTCAGTAAAAACAGATACACTGTGCTAGTTAAATAGTTTATTCCAGTAATAGTTTTAGCATAGTCAAACAAACAGTCCATATATCATTCACTAATTCAGTTCGTCCGGGGATTATTCAGTTGCAAAGTCCAGTGTCGAAAAAGAGGTCAGTAAACTTACAAATATCAGTCCAGTAATATATCTCCTCGCAGTAGAGATGAAGTCAAACCACCTTTCTTCCTCCAGCAGCAACTCAGCAGTAGGGAAAACACGCAGTTAACAAACCATCAATCCATCAAAACAGCAATAGTCACGAATCCAACAGGTTCTCTTGCTCCCTCTTATGGCGGTTTCACACCGCACCCAAAATTACATGCTTTGCAGTTAAAGTGAGACACACTTAAACTTACTATCATAGTTTATATATATTATTTTACCCAAACCACGTTAGGTAACCTTGTTATTCCTAACACAGCTACCAAAACCCAGTATCTTTTATTTCCACTAAACATGCTCCCAGCAGTGTTAGTGCAAAGAAGTTGGTCTATCTGGAAAAAGAATGAAAGAAAACCTCCCCTAATGTTTTTTGGTGGCCCAATTTCTCCAACTGGTGAGATGTTGATGCCAAGTGGGAATATTTTTATCTATGGGTAGATGCAGCTGCGGTTTTCCATTCTTATGAGAGTTGGGGTTTAATTCCTTGCCTTGCTAAATGCCATGAGCCTGAATTGTAGTTTTGTATCTCAAAATCGGGAAAAGATGCCACCTATTTTTAGCATTCAAGCTCAGATGGGACTTCAAGAACTGTACAAACAGGGCTGAGGGGCATACATCACTCACTTCAAGTCTAGAAGATGCTAGAACTCAGATTGATAAATGTCATATTTCAAATAGCCTGATCCTAAGAAATGTATGGCATTGTAAGTTATCAACGGCATTGGATTGTTCTTGAAATGGCTCAATAGCCAGCAAAGGGCTGGAGTTGCACAATATGCTCACCAATAACAAAGAACAATGGCTGTGTTCCTTCCAGCAACATGTTAAGCTAAAATAAGTGACAGTGTGGTTTATCATAGAACAAACCTCAGAACATAATCTATTCAGTTTAAAATAGCCATTGTGATCTATAAACACAGGGTTTATAGTGTGCTGTAATAAAGGGATCAGGTGTCATG